TAGTCAATTTTGGTATTTGATATTTTTAATTTATTTGCAAGGCTTTTTATAATAAAGTTTATAAAATTAAAAGGTCTAAATGCCCATTGTGAAGGAATGTGGGTGGTGCTGTGTGATACTACCTTTAGAGTGATGGGACACATTTATTGACATAATGTTTGCAGAGTCAATGAAATCTCTCTAGCTCCAAAGAATACATTGCTATTCCCCTGTACTGAGGATTAAACCCAGGGCCTTACAGTGTGAGTCACTCTACTGCTCAGCTGCACCCCAAACCTGTTTGTATTTTTATTTTGTGACACAGTGTTACTAAGTTGCATTCACTCTGTTACCCAGCCAGGCCTTGAACTCCAGATCCTCTGCTTTAGCCCCAGAGTAAATGAGATTATCAACCTGTATGGCCAGGCCTGGCTATGCTTCAACTTTTAATACACATATGTGCATATAAACAGCAACAGATTATAGAAAACACTTTCAGTAGTTATAAGTGAAAAATAGAAGTGTGAGTTTCTTTTGCTTAAAAAATATGTGTCCCCCAGCAAGGACTGTACAGTAAGACCCTGTAACTGGGCGAGGATGCCATAGGAATAGATTCAGGACCAGTTCCCATGTCTGTTGCTAACTCGTTAGATGAGTGACAGGCAGTAAAGACCAAACAAGGTCTGCAGCATGGAAAAGATTAATGGAATATCAAGAAATGAGGAATTTGTATTGCTGTTTTTTGAGACAGGGTTTCTCTGTGTAGCCCTGGCTAGCCTGGAACTTGCACTATAGTCCAGGCTGTCCTCGAACTCACAGAGATCCACCTGCCTCTGCCTCCCAAGTGCTGGGATTAAAGGTTCGTGCTACCACACCCAGCATTAAATGAGGGTTTTTATACTACTCTATGAAGTATGGTCTTAGTTACTTTAAAGAAAGTATCAAGGAGAGCACACGCACACACATTTAGTGCTGCCCTTAGCCTTGGCCAGAAAAAGCTTCTCTTTGCAGTGGTCAACAGCTGAAGCAGAGACTCATAGCTGCTGAGAATGCATGACTGTTGAGTGCTCAGTCAGACATGGGGCATCTCTATCGATACCCCTCCCCCAAACATCTCTATCGATACCCTTCCCCCATGACATCTCTATCGATACCCCTCCCCCGAGAGGCCGAAGAGGGGGTGGGAAGAACTTAAGAGCCAAAGGAGGGGGAGAAGTGCTAAGAAACGCTGGCTTCTGGCCGTGACATGGATGTGACCCTCATGAACCCACTACAACTACGGTTACCATCACAAGACTGGCACCAGATCAAGCCAATAGGCTGTCAGTGTTCCAGCAGGCATATTGACGGGACTCGGTGGGTTATTTAAAACAAGGTCAAGGACATGAAGGTGGGTGGTGGATGTGTAGGGATACCTGGGGGGAGTGAGGGGACTTAGATGTGGATATGATCAAGATGCATTGTTTACATGTGTGAAATTGACAAAGAAAAAATAAATAAAAGATTTTCTATTAAAAATGTTCTAGGGAATCTTCCTGGGATCTTCTCTCACTCTTGGAAATTCTCTCTTACTTTTCCTTAATAAATCTACATTGGCTCTGCTTAAAAAATAGGAACATATTTCTAAATATTTTAAAAACAATAAACACGCCTCAGATTTAAAGTGAGGGACGGGAAGGCTACTCTATAAAATGGGGGTAACTGTGTAAAGCACTAGGCACAGACCCCAGCATCCCCTGGGAGGTGTCAGGTTTGGCCCCAGACACAAACGCCAGCGCCAGTACCCTACAGTGGGGCTTGCTGGTCTCTAGCCCTCAGAGCTGGCATTGCAAAGGATCATGGAAGCTTGGCTCTTTGCTGTGTTGGTTTTGTGGGAGAGCTGCACTTTGACATAAGAAGGCATGGACTGGGTATGTCGATTTCCCATTCTGCCACACTTCCAGCCCCTGGGTGATTCGCAAATTGTCAATGCCTACCATTATCTATCACTGCCTGTTCCTGTCCTACCCAACCTTCCAGGCCAAGAGTTCCCAGCAAGCCTTCGCAGACTGCTCCTCCTTCCCCTGGCAGGTCACCGGTGTCCTTTGCCAAGTGCTGGGTCCTTCTGCTCTGTGTTCTAGCAAATGTGTATTCCAACTCAACCCCCAGGGGTCAGGCTCCTGGAGTATTTTCACTCCCAGCTCTGCATCCCGGCACCTGAGTGGGCTGGACACAGAAATAGTACCAGGCTGAAGGAATGGAAACGTTTGTGGCTCTCCGGGACCACTCCTCATCTGCTTAATGGCGTGGAGAAGCACTTGGGTGCTCTCAGCCTAGCCAGATCTGTGTTCAAACTCAGACACTATACTTACCAGCTGTGTGGGCTCAAAAGGGTCCCCTCCCCATTTACCAAAGCCTTAATTTCCTCATCCTAATTAGAATCCTAACCCTTCAGGTTAAAATTAGCCCCTCGATTGGACAGTACATTTAAAGCGCCGCATGGTGCCTGGCAAATGGCAGACATTCAGGTTAGTTCTAGAGCGAGTGTGAACGTCATCATCTAAGCCTGACACTGGGGATGAAAAGGGGACAGCATTAATCATGCCAGACAACAGACACCAACCAGGGTGGACCATGAACCTGAGACCACGCTGCCTGCCCCGGCTCACAGCCAGTCTCCCGAGAGCCAGGACAGGCCTTCCTCACCCTTATTAGAATCTCCCTGGCATGCCTCCCATGCCCCTTCCCAGCCAAGGCTAGCTTATCCACTCTGGGGGCTTCTCCTTCAGGGAAGGGGACTCAGCTACTGGGGCATTCTGGGGGAAGAGCAGAAAGTCCCTTCTCAGTGTCCCAGCCAGGACCCTAAGCCAGATGTCCCCACAACCCCACAGACCCAGGAGTGAAGCAGGAGGCCTACCGTGAGGGGCTGGGCAGCTGGGGCCAGAAGCCCTGTTTTTTTCTCAGAAGCACAGGAGTTTTTCATATGCTCTGTGTTCAGCTGAATCCAATCTTGATGCTGACCAAAGTCCCAGGAAGGGTTCCTCCCCTCATTGATTGACTGTTCCCGGAATGACACCAAGGTCACTTGGGCAAGACCTCTGAAGATTACAAAATGACCCTGAATGGTTCCCATACCCAGATGCCTGATAGGGCTAAAATCCCACTGAGACTACAGTCTTGGCTTCTCTATGACCCTAAATATCTACCACATCTTAAACATGCCTCCAGTAGCAGGACGGTAGTGGAGCACATCTTTAATCCCAGCACTCAGAGGCAGAGGCAGGTGGATTATGAGTTTGAGGCCAACCTGGTCTATAAAGCAAGTTCCAAGACAACCAGAGATACACAAGAAACCCTGTCTCCAAAAAAGCAAAAACAAAACCAAAAGCCAGTGACTCCAGGCTGCACTGCACGAGATGAGGGCCATTCATTCACTTTTGAAGAGAGGCGTGGGCTAAGAGACGACCTGCTCAGCACTCAGTACTGCCACTAAGAGAAAACCTAGAGTGTACCAGTCTCTTCACACACACACACACACACACACACGCACACACACACACACACACGCACACACACACACAGTCTAGATAGATGACAGTCTGGTAGACAGAATATACATAGTGCGTGTGTAGTGTGAAGTAAGTATGTGACTGTGTGAGTGGAGGAGTGTGTGGGTGTGAAGTGAGCATGGGAGAGAGTGAGTGTGTGCGTGTGTGTATGAGTGTGTGTGAGTGAGTGTGTGAGTGTGAGCGTGTGAGTGAGTGTGTGTGAGTGTGTGAGTGTGTGTGAGTGTGTGAGTGTGTGTGAGTGTGTGTTAGTGTGAGTATGTGAGTGAGTGTGTGTGAGTGTGTGTGAGTGTGTGAGTGTGTGAGTGTGTGCGAGTGTGTATGTGTGAGTGAGTGTGAGTAAGTGTGTGAGTGTATGTGAGTGTGTGTGAGTGTGTGTATGTGTGTGTGAGTGTATGAACTGAGCCGGTGAGAGTGTGAGTTAAGGTGTATGTGTGTGTGAGTGTGTGTGTGTGTGTGTGCAAAGTTCTGACCAACCAGTAGGAAGCATTTTCTTTCAGTACAGAAGAAAACAAGTGTCTTTGTTTTTTCGAGACAAGGTTTCTCTGTGTAGCCCTGGCTGTCCTGGAACTCATTTTGTAGACCAGGCTGGCCTCGAAGTCACAGATTCACCTGCCCCTGCCTCCCAAGTACTGGGATTAAAGGTGTGCACCACCATACCCAACTGACAGGAGTCTCTAAGAGGCAGACAACCAGAGAATCTGGTGCACCCAGGTCTGCCCTGGGTGGCATCCGGCCTGGTGGAGGCAGGGTCTTTGCTATGAGGAATGGCAGGGCATGGGACTGGCTTGTCTTGGGAGACTCACACCCAGGCTGGGAGACAGCTGTCCTATCCTGTGCTCTTGGGGCCTTGGCTCCTCTAGAAACACACTCTGTCTCACTTGTCAGCATGTCAGAGCAAACAAGAGGAACCTGGTGTCAGAACAGAGTTTGAAGTCTGGCTTTTCAATGACGGGATTTCATCTCGGGATGTGTGTGTCTGTCTGTCTGTCTGTCTGTGTGTGTGTCTGTGTGTCTGTCCATGTGTGTTCATGTGTCCAGCCTGCAGACATGTGCACATATGCATATGCGGTACGGAGGCATATTTGCATCAAGAGCTTCAGAGATCCTGCAGGAAGTTAGCATACAGCTTTGGCCCCCTCTCCCCATTATTTGGAATTCCAGAAGCCTGTCCCAGTGGACTCTGGGTGATTAGGGGAGGACAGCCAGCCACTAGTCCACAAGGTGATCCTGGGAAATTCATTGTATTGAATTTACTTTCTTCATCTGTCAAACAGGCCAAGCCTATTCTTAAAGCTCCCCCAGCCACAGTGGATATTGTTTGCGATTGTTACTCAGCTCCTGCATTTTGCCCCTAAGCCCTGTTCTCCACCCAGGATCAAGTTTTTGTGAGGAGCCATCCATCCCATCCAGGCAGCAAGGGCAGCGCCCACAGGTTTGAGACCTCTCACAAGACGTCCACAGAAAACACACTCGTCCCACATATACGTTTATTGTTGATTCTGTGCACCAAATCTATCATAAGTAGCATCTAGCAAAAGACAGATCCCCCCAACCCTGCCCACCAGGGCTCACATTAGACAAAACACCAGGGGCCTAGAAATCTCTAAATGCTATGCTAGCAACTGGGGCAATTTGCAAAGATCACCTAGTAAGGCAAGCGTTCTAGCAGAGCAAAGGCAATGGGAGGCAATAACCCTCTCTCCTTAGGGGAAGGGTCCTGGGACCGGGTGGTGCTTCACCCAGAAACTTCCTGCTGCTCTCTGTTTGGCCACACTAGTGGCTTCCTTCCTGAGATCATCGTCATTCAATGGCCAGATCTGATTCTGACCATGGGGCCTGGGGCTGAACCTTGGAGTAGCTTATGGCTGGCTAAGTCTGGGATACACACAAGGCTTTCCTCCTGACTGGGGTTATCAACCTGCTTGCCATGTCCTTCCCAAGACTGGAAGTGGATTCCAGAGTTCCATTCTGCCATCACGATGGCCGTGGGAACTGTGTGGTGCCAGTGAGAAGCCCCAAGATCCCAGCTGCTTGTGGGCAGCCTGTTTCCTTAGTGATAAAAGCCCTAGGGAGCCCAGAAGGCTTTGTACAGAGATTGTCTGTTGGGCACTGCAGAAAAGGCCCTAACACAAGAGGATGCTAGTGGGACTAATTTCACAAGGAGTCAAGAGGGTTAGAAGGAGAATACATGTGGAGCCTTGAAGGGCACCCAGGCACAAATCCGTTAGTGTGGTGACTCTAGGTGGCCTTCTTAGCTCTCTTTCAGCATCAGCCCCCCCCTCCACACAAACGCTGGAGATGGTGTCCAGGAAGCAGTGACAGAGAGGGAAAGTGAGCTGAACTCCACACTGTGTCACAAGTTTCTAGGGGCCACAGAGTTTATTCCAGCCCCAAGAATTGAGCAAAATGCATTATCTTGTTGGAAAGGACCCTCCATGCAGTGTTCCCTGCATCTAGGGCTAGAAAACGTGGAGAAACCAAAAGCCCCATTAATAAGGAGCAGTTCCATCTGGACACTGTAGTGGGGAGGAAGGGAAAGGCTGCCATGTCACCTGCACCTGCGCACTTAACTCTCTGCCTGTGAGCTCCTAGGCAGGCCTTGAGAAGACAGCTGCCCCCAAGCCAGCCTTTGGGCCAGCAAGGCAAATGACTGTCACTGCCAATGTCAGAAGTGGCCAGCAGTTCCAGGTTATAACTGGCAGGGGACACCGGATAGTGTGGACTCCACTTTCCTCCGTCCCTAGCCCATTGAGGCTGGACATAGCTCACGGGGGGGGGGGGGCTTCAAATGGTTCTGGGAACACAGTACTACGCCAAGCTTCCATCTGCAATAAAGCAGGCCCAGCCCTGCCTCACCCACCAGCAGGCCCCAGTCGGCAGAACCACGATCACACTCACTCTGGGGTTGGGGACAGCTTTGGTCCATGTGTACCAGGGTATGCCTTGGGGAGATGATACCTTTTGACTGACATCAGGTTCCCTGGGGCAGAGTGTGTCGGTTCTCACAAGTATTCTTTCTGGATTATTCTGCCAGGGAACTGGAGGGGAGGTCTGGAACTCCTGTAAGCTCTCTGTTGCCAAGACTCGGAGGGGTTTCTCATTTGCCCCATAAGAACCACTGTAGGTTAGAGATACATTTCCTGATCCCTGTGGTCATCTGGAGTCCTTCTCTTGTTAACAGAAAAACCTGACATTCTCTGTTTCACTGTTTTGTTTTTGAGGGAGGCTCTTTCTACATAGCCCTGACTGTCCTGGAACTCACTCTGTAGACCAGGCTGGCCTTGAACTCAGAGATCTGCCTGTCTCTGCCCCGCAGTGCTGGGATTCAGAGTGTGCACCACTGCTTGGTCGTTTATTTGCTTTTGTTTCGGTGCAGGTGTATCAGCTGTCCGGAGAGAGCTATGTCACCTTGATCATAACTGTTTAAAGTGTGGAAATAGATGCATTGTAGCAGGAAATGCAGTCAAGGCAGATGTTTTGCGACTGTCACTCAAAGAGAAAACTCTAAACTAACTGATTCAGCTCATGATCAGAACCCAGACAGAAGGTTTTCTGGAGCGAACCCACGCCCTCGTGTGACCTTCCAGCATGCCCTGCTATATGCTGCCTGTGAACACCCTGCAGTCTAGCTACCAGCTGACTAACTAATGTGAATGAAGAATTTGACCACAGTGCAGAAGGATTCCTGGTTTCCATTACACTTGGTTATTCAATTGGAAGATCTCATCTCTGAGCTATTTTGCTTCCCCCAAATGAAGAACAAAAATTAGAAACAGATTTGGGCATATAATACCCATAAGAGGATGGGTAGAGGGAGTCTGATGAGCAGCATGGGGCTTGTTGGCAGGGAAGATGCATGCTTACACAGGCTACTGTTGTTCGCATGCTTCTGGTCTGGCCAGCTTGGTTGCCTCTTGTCCCGACTGTCTCTTTTACTCCCCACAGCCGGGCCTTTGCAAAGGCTGCCGATGGAGGGGTAGGGGGGCTCCCTCCCAAGACCATGGAAAGCTAGAAAGTCCCCAGCATCCCCAGAAGTCCTCCAGAGCAAGTGGAATGGAGACACTGTGGTATCATTTCTTGCTGTCATGCTGATCACACAGGTATCTATTCAGATTGTGAGAATTCACTAGGCCATACACCATCACACTCCCACTTTCTGTATGTATGTCATCCTTCGATAGGAAACCAGAAAGGGAAAGTGTAGGGCTGAGGCAGCAGGTTTCTTCCTTCAGTCATTATCAGTGAGCTGATCTCCGTGTTTTGCATGATTTTATACCATAAAGGGCTAAGATCTTCAAAGGAAATCTTGTGACTTTAAACATTCTTCTCGCAAAGGCTGAACTTGTTGCGATACAGACTGATGACAACTCTGCCTGGGGAGCAGACAGCATAGGTGTCTTTCTGTCTTGCACAGCACCCTCCAAGCCAGCACAGTGAGCTAAGAGCTGCCAACCTTCTCACGGAGAGAACCTAAGTCTGACTTTGGCAGCAGAAAAACAAAGGGAGACCTCTTACTTGAGGGGACAGAGTCAAGCTTGGCACAAAAAGAGAAGCAAAAAAAAAAAAAAGCAATCAACTTATATAATACTTCTAGGCACGGGCTGTCCCGGCAGAGAACTATCTCATAATGTGAGCAGGCCTTGTCATCATGAAGTCTACAGAGGCTGGGAGGGGCTGAGTGCAAGGGAGCTTGTACTTGGAAGTAGTGAGGATTTGGCAGAGGGCCCCTCTGAAGGATGCCTAGGCACTGACCTAGAACCTTCTGGAGTTGCTTGCTTGTTTGTTTGTTTAATCACCAATTAGATTTCTCTGGGCACAGAAGGTCCTGAAATGCCTGCTTCTCTACAGAAGACCTGGGGGCTCAGGACAAGATGGGGGCGTTTTCCCCTGGGCCATCAGAGCTTGGCTGTGTGGACCCAGGTTTGGAAGCTGAATGATCACATACTCTGTCTGGTCCTCTGGTTTCGTGTTTCCCCAGCCCTGCTCGAGCCTGCTTCCCTAACACTCATTGGGAGCCTTCATCTGCATCAGGACTGCCTGGCTCCTCTTCTTGCAGCAGCAGCAGCAGATGCAAGCAGCCAGGGAACAGGCCAAAGCAATGATGCCGATCACAATGGCAGCAATGGCCAGTCCAGTCTGGGCATCAGTCATGCCCCATGTATTGCGGTCATCAGTGGCTTCAATGGTGGTCAGATCGGTGTAGTCTTCTAGGGCAGTGGTGATCTCTGTAGTAGAGGAAACGGATGTGGTGTCAGGATAGCTGGATGACCCTGCTAGATCAGGGTCTACATAGCGTGGCACTTCCGGGTAGCTAGATACTTCAGGAGCCTGGCCACTGGGCACAGGGAGATTGATATTGATGATGACAAGAGACTGGCCTCGGACGTTGGCTGGGCTGGAACACACTGGAAGAGTGTCTGTCCCCAACCTGGCTCTGTTGAGAACGAGCCAGTTATGGAGTGGGAGGATACCTGAGTCACACCTCCAGGGGTTGTCGTAGAGACGGAGTTCACACAGGTTCCCCAAGTGATCAAAGATGCCCAAGGGCAAGTTCTCCAGATTGTTGTTCTGTAGCTGGATGGTGGTGAGGCCGTTGACATTGGCGAAGATGCTGCCGGGGAGCTGTCGGAGGCGGTTATTTTGGAGGGAGATGTTCTGCAGGTTGGCCAGCGCTCGGAAGACATTTCCATCCAGGTCCTGTAGAGCATTGGTATGGAGGGACAGCTCTCGCAGATTCGTCAAGCCGTTGAAAGCTCCCGGGGCGATGGAGTTGAGCTGGTTGTGACTGAGAATCAGAACCTGCAGCTGGGGCAGGTTGATGAAGGTGTTGTCAGGGATGGATGTGATGTGGTTGTTGTAGAGCCAAAGTTCCCGCAGGTTGGGCATAGGCCCAAAGATCCCCGGGGAGAGCTCCTTCAGGGAATTGCCGAAGAGTGTGAGCCTGTTAAGCTGTGGCAGCTGCATGAAGATGCCAGGGGGCAGCTGCGAGATGTGGTTGTTGGACAGATACAGCCTCTGGAGGTTGCGGTTATTGTGGAACAGGCCAGGGGACAGTGCGCCAATCTGGTTCTCCTGGAGGGCCAGCTCCTGGAGGTTGCCCAGAGCATCAAAAGTGCCCATGGGGATGTCCGAAAGCCTGTTCTCATATAGACGGAGCACTTGGAGGTTGCCGAGATGCTGGAAGACCTTAGGTGACAGGCGGGTGAAGCCGTTCTTGCCCAGGTTGAGCTTGGTGAGTCCTACCAGGTGGTCAAAAGCACCTTCAGGGATGTATTCCAGATTGTTGCCATGCAACTGGAGTTCCTTGAGATTACTAAACTGGGAGAACTGGGCTGGCTGGATCTGAGCCAGTTGGTTATTGGACAGAAGGAGGGATTCCAGATTGTCTAGACCCTGAAAGAGGCCAGGAGACAGCCTCTGGATTTTGTTGTTGGCAAGGCTGAGATAGCGCAGTGACCCCAGGTTTCGGAAGGCACCCGGCATGATGTTCGACAGTTCGTTCTTCTCCATCCTCAGGGCGATGAGTGCTGAGATGTTGAGGAACGGGGCCTCCGTGATCTCAGTGATGTGTGTGTTGAGGATCTGCAAGCTCATAGCGTTCCAGGGCAGAGGAGTGGGCACTGCCACAATTCGTGCCCCTGTGCACTCTACCTGGGAGGCCCGGGAACAGGTACACTCACTAGGGCAGCCATAGTAGGCCAAGCCTGCAGCCCAGGCCTGGCAGCCCACCAGCAGAAGGAGATAGTATTTCAGTGGCATGGCCTGTGTGGGGAGAGAGAAGCTGTGTGAGTCACGGTCACCTCACTAACCACCAGTCTTCAGTTTCCATAGTGACGTCCAGCCCCACCATCACCCACCGAACTCAAAGTCTCTGCTTCGGCCAGAGAGCCCCTGGGCTTCCTACATCGGCACCCTTGCCCGGGCAAGGGCCTCACTGGAGTCTTCCCTACACTTCTGTTCAAGTTCAAGTCCAGCCATCACTAAGAGTTTTCTAGATCTCATCAGTGGGAATTAGTCACCCCCTTGTGCAGGTAATAACCCTGCAGCCCTCTTCTACTGCCTTATCATAGCCAGCTAAGCTTAGGTGGCGCTTAATTGTCTCTTCCCCTAGTTAACAAGCTTTTTAAGGGTGCTATCTTACAGTCCTTCAGGTTGCTAAGATAGAAACTGTATCTCTAAATACATACATTGCATTTCAATTATATTCAACCCCCCCCCACTCCTCCTCTAAGTTCCTCCTGGGTCCACTCCCATCCCTCTACCCACCTCATCCCAATTCATGTCCTTTTTTTTTTTTAAATAACCCACTGACTCCAATCTGTGCTGCCCATATACACATGGGTGTGGGGCCGACCACTAGAACATAGTCTACCTACCAGGGGCCACACTCTTAAACAGAACTGACCATCTATGGTTCCCTCAGCAGCCATCAGGTTTCAATAGCTCCCAAGCTAAGAGTGGGGGCTCCTACGTTCCCTCCCCGATCCCATGCTGGTGTGTGGACTGGATTGATTTTGTGCAGGTCTTAGACCGACGGCCACAGCTGTGGTGACTCTCTAACAGGTTCTTCCCTAGCTGTGGCTCTCACAGTCTCCCTGCCCCCTCCTCAGTGAGGTTCCCTGAAGGACTGTGTCATATAACTTCTGTAGCTCTCAGCACATGAACAGGCTGGCAGGACCCAGCCTTGTTGGAAGGCCCAGAAAGGAAATGAAAATAAGTCATTGTATCAGTAGGGTCTGAGTCTGGGATGTTGGAGTCACAGGGATGGGTAGTGGGAGCCAGCAGAGGGAGGCAACACTAACTTCAGTTAGTTCCTTCTGCCCTCTCTGCTGCCCCTCCCTACCAGCCCATCACCACCAACACCACCCTCGCCCTTTGGCAATCTGTCCACATGTGCTTTATTTAGATTTAATCCAAGCCATCTTCTTCCGATAAGAAGCCACTGTCTACACCACATGCTGCCTGTCTGGAAGAGGTGGCTGGGCCTCAGCTGATGCCTAGGGTGTGGCTTCTGGTGTGAGCCCTGCTTCCCACAGAAAAACACTGGGTGGCCTGCAGTAAGTCCCTGAAAACACAGACACACTTAAATCTGGGGGCTCTAAGTGGGTCCAGATGTCTCCTTAGGCACAGGAGCCAAATACATGGAAGGCTTGGGGCTTGAAGTCACCTATGACAATGCTAAACACAGAGCAGTGGGCACGGTTCCCTATGTGGATATTTAAGGTCCTGCTTGGCCTTGAACGAGAGTTCTCAGGCCTCGAAATTCAGCTTCCTCGTCTGCTAAGTTTCTCTTGGGGCTGTTGTGTGGGTTAGATGGGAGAACAGACTCAAAGGGCATCCTATGGATGGCTGTGACTAATGCTCACCCTTGTTCTCAGCTGCCTATAGTATACGCTCACAGCCCCCAAAGGCAGGAAGCCCTCAGAGTGTCTATAGTCTGGCATTCTTTGTCAAGGGACTAAGGAGTTGTGTGTGTAGACATGAGTGCCCAGGATGTCTGTCCACAGTTGAAAGGAACCTGTAACTCCTGAGGGTTAAGGAGTTGCCACTTCTCACGATTTTATGAGGAGGCAGGAAGCAGGGAAACCAAGGCTCCAGTCTCCAGGCTCCCGGTGAGGACTTGAGTGGCATGAAGTGCCTCCCCTAAGGGGTGAAGCTGATGAGTAAAGGCAGGATGTCAGTCAAGCCACACACTGGGCAAGGGGGACACTTGGCAGCTTCTCTTGGTGCCTGAGATGATGGGGTCCTAAGGCTAGCTCCCCACCCTGGCCTGGGCTTCCTACACCCCTCCTCTATTCCCCCCTGCCAAAAAAAAAAAAGCAGCTGAGAAACACCCTATGTATGACCCGCCTACATAGACTTCAACTTTTCGTTTATTCACAGCCCTTTCTAGCACTGGGCTGCTTTACTTTCGTGAAAGACTTGCCAAAGTGTGTGTAGCTACTGGGAAGGAACAGGAACAACATGGCCACTGGAGTCCAGTGGCAAAAGACGAGGAGGAAGGTAAGGCTGCGGACCACATTTCAACAGCAAGTCAGGTTCAGAAAGAGAGAGGGAAACTGCTTAAACAGGGGACACCCAGAGCCAGGCATAGTGACTCATGCTCATTGGATGGCTCATGCTTGTAAGGCAACAAGAAAAACAATTTAAAAGCCTGGGCACAGAGAGTTCTGTCAACCCAGAGCTGGGTAGGTGGAGACACATGGATCCTGGGAGTTCGCCAGCTAGACAGCCAAGCTAGCAGGAAGGAGAGGCTCCAGGTTTAGTGGAAGACTTTATCTCTGGCATGCAATCGAGGAAGGCATGTGACGTTGACCTCTGGCCTCCACGTGTGTACCTGAAGGCACAAGTGCACCCGCCTCCCAACAAACCAAAGCACACGGAGACAGCACAGAAAAAATGGCTCCATGTCTGCAAAACCTGAGGTATCATATTGGCAATAACAAGGAAACAACGCTGGTACAAAAGCTAACGTGAGAGATGGCTCAGAGGTTAAGAGCACTGGCTGCTCTTCCAGGTGTCCTGAATTCAATTCCCAGCAACCACATGGTGGCTCACAACCATCTACAATTCAATCTGGTGCCCTCTTCTGGCATGTAGGCAGAGCACTGTATATGTAATAAATAAATAAATCTTAAAAAAAAAACACTGCCCATCATGAGGAATTAAAAAAAAAAAAGCTAACGTGATCTTAGACAGTCTCTAGAGAAGTACGGAGCACGGCAGGGAGGAGGTGATGGTCTTACTCTACGCCCCCCGGAACAGGCACCTTGCTATTACGCCGGCTCAGTTCCACTCTGAACTTCAAGGCCAATGACAAACTGGTTTCTTAAAGAGCTCCTAGAGCAGTGATTCTCAACCTTCCTAATGCTCCACTGTTTAATACAGTTCCTCATGTTGTGGTGAGCCCCAACCATAAGATCATTGTCGTTGCTACTTCATAACTGTAACCTTGCTGCCATTATGAATGGCAATGTCAATATCTGATATTCAGGATGTGAGCCCCACAAAGAGGTCACAGCCCACAGGTTGAGAACGAATGGTCTAGAGGATGGTAACAGGACATAGGAACTAGACCACCTGAGCATCCGTCAAAGGCGCTGCGGATAAATAGCTGGAAGTAGACAGAGAATCCACGAGCCTTCCCAGAGTGTGAAAAGCTGCCGTGGCATAAAGAGATGCGATGCAACTCCAGAGACCAACACCAGGGGCGTGGCACAGCAGAGTTGAGCCCACACTTAGTGCGCACAGTCTCACAGAGGCAGCGACCTTCGCGTTCAAGCATAGCTGAGAACTTTCCGATTGAGATGGAGAGAAGAATCCTACCCTGAGCAAGCGGTCAGTGGAGGAGACAGCAGCTGTCCAGCCCATGGCTAAGATTCCAGGTTCAAAGGTTGAGTCCCGGAGAGTGGAAGTGAGAAACCCACATCTCCCAGGAGGCTGGGCAGTCGGAGCTTGTGTCTGTTCTTCCCCCGATAGATGTGTGTGAGACTCACCCCTGGCTGAGGCCCAGTTGCTCCTGGTGCTGTCTGAACTACTTATTTTTCATAAATATCCATTTGCCCAGCTCCAAGGGTGATGTCGTAGCCCAAGTAATGGAGAGGGATTATGTGCCCATCACCTGGAAGCTCTGCAAGCTGTAGGAAGCATCTCCCTTGAGGACCATCTCCCCAGCTAGGTGGGGGTATCAGGCCAGCCCTGTGAAGACTCTGAGATCCCCGTGGGGAGGCGGGAGGGAGACCCTTTGTAGCCTGGGAGGAAAACCAAAGAGATAATTCCCTGTGGGAACAGACACTGTTGTTTAAAATGGACCACACTCAGCACAACAAGTATTGTAAGAATTCCCAATGTCTTTTTATAAATCCTCTCTGTCTGCGGAGCCCACCCAGTACTTCGTGCAGCTGTTTCCAGTTTTCCAGTGGTTCAGACAGCTGGTGCCTTCCCTCCCCCCACCTGCCTGCTCCTGACCAGCAGCAGAGAGCACCACAAAGGTGCCCTGCACAGAGGCAGCACTCAAAACCGGCCTGGAGCTAGACCTTGAACTGTTGGCAGTGCTGCAGGCAATGGCCCTTGGCTTCAACTAATAGCCCACGCTACCCAGGACTGCTTGGCAGCCATGACAATGGCAGTTAAAGGCCCTCAAAGCTACCCTAATTACAGCTTCCTCCTCCAGGCATCGAGCGCGTCCTCAATCATTTCGGCCAGCCCCTGGGGAGGGGGTCCGTGTGGCGTCAGTCAGATCCATGTAGTCAGAGGACTGGGCAGATAGATAGAAGGACAGATGGCTCACCTGGACATGGACGCGGCCCCTCCCCAGGAGTGGAAACGATTGAACAGGGTGCCGGCTGCGGGTCTGTTTGCAGAAACACCCTGTGACTCATGAGCGAGTGAATACATAATTAGCCTTGAAGCCCTGGGCTTTGCTGGTTGGGAGCTGGGCTTTCTTGGATTGGTAACATCGTTCATGTTCACTAAACACAGTGTTCCCTGGAAAGAGACTCCTTATTTCAATGCCACAAAGTGAGACTTTTGAAGGGGGCCAGGGAGACCCCTATTTCTACAGTAGTCTTGACAGTAACAACCTGAGTTTAGGTAAATACTGCAGGCCTCGGTTTCCCCTTCTGTAAAAGCTTCACAAGTCCTTACAGCTCTAGTGTTGCTTCTGCTGAAGGCAAAAGGGAATCTGGAATGAAGACTTACCGTTCTCCCATCCCCTCTTCCCCATGAAAAGCCGCCTGGCTACGCCCACTCATACACCAAGGCTTGAAAAGCCTTACTCTCTCAAGCTGCTTGCTTCAAAAGTTCCCCCAGCAGGGCCACCCCACAAGTTAATCACTGTATCTTCACACAGCCTGAGACCTGAGAAGACCCTTACGGGCCTCTCCCACACTTCCCAGTGCACCCAAGGCAATTGATGCCCACAAAGAGGATCTCTCTTCATGCCTGTGACACTCCTTAAAGATGGCTTCCTAATCAAGGCCTCTTTTGGAGTGAGATGGACCGTAGACAATGCAAGAGAGAAGCCAGGTTTGGCCCTGCACTCCGCATCCCCATCCAGGGTCCCTGTCTTCAGTCTGGCCACTCTTTGGCGCAGTCTAAGAGATGTGAAGTCAGAGAGGCTGGAACTGAATAGAATTCACACCTGGGGTCTCTCTCTCTGTCTGTCTGTCTCTCTGTGTGTCTCTGTCTCTGTCTCTCTCTCTCTCACACACACACACACACACAGAGTGGCCTGAGAATCTTGTTGGCTAGATCTGATCTCCTACCATCACTACTGTGACTGTGAAGTGACCTAATGTGTGCAAGACACTAGGAATGCTTCTGGGAACAAAGTGGGTTCCCCTTAAAAGTGAAGGGCAGTTATTGTTAGTTGTTGTTGAGCAAAATCAGATTTCTGGGGACTCCACCCGCAGTGTTCCTAACTTCTAGACCGGGCTGAGTCCTAGAGTCACACACACACAAGAACTCCCACTCCAGTGCACACAGATCACACTCAGAAGTACCTACAATGTGGTCTAGACTACCTGGGAACCCATGCTCACAGCCTGTGCTATTTAACTGCCAAGAAGAGAAAGAATGGGAATAGGAGAGACTGAAGGATGTTTTACTATCTAGGCACACCTTCTGGTTTTCCTCCCCAACCTAGAATCTGAAGCTTATATTAATTGAGGCTCAAAGCTGCTTCCAGATATAGTTTGTGAGAACCAGGACACCACCGGCACAAGAGCATTTTGAAGTCATCTGGTCAGACCATTTGGCTGTTTTGTAGATGAGAAATTGACAGGTCCATAGAGAGCAAGGGACTCACCCAAGGTCACACGGGCAACTGAAGACTCAATATAGAGCCCGGTGAGCCTCTGGACCTCATCATGAGGCTCCTACAGGGCCTTGTCTGTGTCGGCTCCCACCTCTGTGAGCTGGGGGAGAGGGAGGAGACGCCTTGCCCCTCCCCCTAACCTAATTGGCCTATGCACAGTCACTCTCCACTGTTCAGTATTATTAGTCAAGCCCAAGTCCTCTCCCAACTCATTCTGCAAGTGACTTTCTGCTCTAAGGCTACACTGATGGTGCGTTGTTAAGGGTTAACGGAGTAACCTGGAAGAGGGGAGAGAAGGTTCGGAAGGGGGCACCAGAAGATTGAGTCTGGTAATCTCAGCACACACAACCCATGATTTAGGAATACTCTAGCCAGACACAAAGCACCCTGGAATCCCACAGCAAGACAATCACAGTCTCATGCTCCAGGGCCCTTCAAAACCAAAATATTGTTCATTGCCTTGTTTTGTTTTTTAAAAAAGAGAATGAATAAGAAAAAGCAATTCCTTCCTAGGCCCTCTGTGGGACCCTCCCAAACCTGGGCCTGGCCTAGCCTGGCTTCCTGTAGAGGCCAGAGCAGGTCTGTAATTTGCCAGGCCAGAGCTTCGAGAGCACAAACTGGCCAGCACAATGGCCAGAGTTGGGAAGTAGCCACTTTTTATAAGAAGTCACAGAGCTCAAAGACGCTCAGACCTTAGATCTGAAGCAGCCTCTGAACGTCTCAGAAGCCACTTCTGCCTGTCCTGTGTCCCACGGCCAAGGCAGGCACTAGAACGGGCAGCTTCAGCAGTTCTGCTGTGGTCGGGAGCTGGGGAAGCAAATTGTCATCTGTAATGACAGTTTTCCTGTGTTCGCTGGCAGCACAAAGTCTGGGCAACGTCCTTCCCAGCTCTCATCTCTGCACATGCGGATCTGCCCCCACTCACGCCTCCCTGCCTCCACTTACACAGCTGATCTGGGTAGCACCCCCAGCCTTGGGAAGTTCTCAGAGCACTTCCTGGCCGCGACCCTGGCACATGCCTTCCCTGACACTGTCACTGATGAGAACAACAGCTGACTCATGACCACAGGAAACTTTGACTGTCTGGCCCTGAATTTACTCCAGATGTTCAGGCGATGCAGAAAGAAAGAAGACCCAGTTAGTGGATTTCCAAGTTACAGGGCAGGGGCACCCACACATCTGAGAGCTGCCTGCTATAGGCAGTGTCAGCAGATACCCTAGGAGAGATGCCAGCGGTGGCAGGCAACACTGGACACCTTGAGTCACTTTCTGCCTTGAGGTAGTGCGTTCAGCCCTAAAGGTAGAATGGCCAGAAGGTTAGAAGGCCTAGAAGGCTCTGCTTTTCCACAGTTGATTCCTGTGCATGTGGGTAAGGACAGGATTAAAACCCACCAACCAAGTCAGCTGTGGCTATAGCCACGCCATAGAGTGCTTGCTGAGCATACTTGGGGCCCTGAGCTTGATCTTCAGCACCAAATACATACATACATACATACATACATACATACATACATACATACATGCATACATACACACACATATAAACATACACATACATACAAACATGCATACACACACCCATACACATATATACACACACATACACTCACATACACACATACATACATACATACATACACACACATATAAACATACACATACATACAAACATGCATACACACACCCATACACATATATACACACACATACACTCACATACACACATACATACATACATACATACATACACACACACACATATATAAACATACACATACATACAAACATGCATACACACACCCATACACATATATACACACACATACACTCACATACACACACACATACATACATACATACACACACACATATATAAACATACACATACATACAAACATGCATACACACACCCATACACATATATACACACACATACACACATACACTTACATACACACATATACACACATACATACATGCATACATACACATGTATACACACACATACATATACATACACACAAACATGCATACACACACCCATACACATACATACACGCACATACACTCACATACACACATATACACACATACATACACATACACACATGCACATGCACACATACATACACACACATACATACAATTACATACATACACAGCACCCGATTCTCATCACAAACCTACCTCCAGCCACCCCTTTCCAAACTCCTGTGACCAGAATGGGATCATCTAAGCCACACACAGACCTAGAACCTGGACATCTAAGCCCACCCGGATCCCAAATTGGCACTCCTATACAGGGGCAACACATCTGCTGGAGTCTGTCAGGTAACACTGTCAATCTATGACAGAGGGCTGATTTCTCCCAGGCAGAAAACCCATCCAGAACAGATCCGTGTGCAAGGGCCCCTATAAGCGGCCACCTCAGTAGATGCAAAAGAAATTATACAGGTTCCAACAGCTGGCACCTAAGAAAAATTCCTGTCTGTGGACCTGACATCTTGGAGGATGTAAACCCCGTGCTTCAGTCAACTTTCAACTAACTCCCTGCAGGTCAAATATCTCCCCAAGTTGACTCCCCAGACCATAAAGACAAGGGAAGCAAATGGCATCAAGATTTACAGCTAGACCCTGGGACCCGGGCAGTGGAGGCAGGCTCGCCCAGCTCCTGTGCAGCCTGTACCTGTCCAGGTCCTCAGATCATCCCAGGCACGCGCCAGCCCTGCCCTTCTGGAGTCTCTCCCGGGATGCTATGGTCAACCGGGAGGTGGGGCGCGGCCGGGAGAGAAGGGCGGGCACCCACTTACCAGCAGCTCCACGCGGCTGCCGGGTCAACAAGAGGGAGCCGGCGAGGAGAGGAGGAGGATCCGGCAGGCTCAAGGCTGCAGCATGAGTGCCAGCCTTCTGGGTCCTCCCCATCATTTAAACACCCCCTCGTGAGTCACCGCAGGGGGCAGTGTCGGCCAGCGGGGCGGGGCAGCCCGACTCTGGGCGCATCATGGGGAGCTGCGTTCAAGCTCAAGGGGTATTCTTGGACTGCATTTGAAAATAAGTTTCTTCTCTCCCCTTCCCCACCCCGCCCTTCCCCATCTTCCGATTGGTGTTCTGTGTCCGCCGTGGTTCTGAAAAGGGAGGTTTTCTGCGACTTCAGTGAGACTCTGAGTGACTGAATGTACTTGCCCCAGGCCCCAGCCCAGGGCTGGTCAAAGTCGTTTTTTCCTGTGGCCTTTGAGTCCACTCCTCTCTTCCTCCTCCCCACCCCCTAATTTTAAACTTTTTATATAGAGATAGCTCCTATTTTACAGAAAACATGCAAGAACAATATAAGGAATACTCAGATACTCTGCTCAATTCAGCCATTGATAACATTTTAGAAATGGCATTTATTTTTATTTTAAGTTCCAAGGAAGAGAATATAATGTCTTCCACCATGTCTCTCTCTTTTTTTGTTTTTGTTTTTGTTTTTGTTTTTGTTTGTTTTTGTTTTTCGAGACAGGGTTTCTCTGTGGCTTTGGAGGCTGTCCT